CCCCGGAGGTGCGATTGGCCCCCTCACTCCTGGCCTTCCGAAGGGCCTTGAAGACCTGGCTTTGTCACTTGGCCTGGGTGGGGAGGGAATACCTCAAGCAGGGAGATGGCTAGCCCCATAGTGGCCAGCTGTCCTCGGCCCAATTTCCCATCTTCTTGGATTTTCCTTTTTTAGTATTGTTCTTAATTCTAGATGTAGTATGTATTTTATATATATTTATAGTTTTAATGTTTTTTGTAAGTCGCCCAGAGTCCCCCATTGTGGGGGGGATGGGCGGGAGAGAAATCCAACAAATAAATAAATAAATAAATAAATAAATAAATAAATAAATGTTCCCACCTACCAGGAGATAAGGTGGGAGGGGGCCTGACAGTAGGCACTGACAGTGGGCATTATCTGTAACAGCTTCCCTCCTTAGGAGTAGCTTGCCCTCCAAAGCAAGGATCGCCAGCACTGTCATGGCTTTCCAACCCTGCTCTTCAAGAAGACTTTGGGGGATTAATTATAGCCATTGCTCCATCAGAAACAAAATTTACCTCATTAATTTTAGTACTAATTAGGAGATTTAGATTTTGGATGTCACTATTTAATTTATCATAATACTGATTTATTCTGTAAGTTCTGTAAAACACCAAGAATCTGCTAAGTTTCAGGCAGTGGCCAAATCTCATAAATAATAAATAAATACAACTTTGATCAACTGAAGAAATAGGCATTTGCTATTTTATAGTGTAACAACATAGTTAAATTGCTTCTATACAGGAATGTATCTAGCCTAATTATTATAAACAAAAATATGTACATATTCATTAATATTTCCAGTACAACAATACTTAATAAGATGAAGCAATAATTACAAGAGATAATTTTGCATATTACACAATAACACTTTTAACTTTAACTGAATATTTTTAGATTAGCTTTCCTCAGACTGGTGCCAACAAAATGCATTAGCACTGTAATTTCAGAATTCCGTGGTCATGCTGATAATGACTGGCTATGAATTATTATCTGTACATAGTAAATACAGTATTAATGATGCTTTATTCATAGACTACTGCATTGAAAAATTGACCCTTCTACTTTCAGATATTGTAAATTTCTTAAATACAAATTAATATTAACGTGCTTGTTTTTAAATGAAAAAGAAAGGAAACGATTAACATTTACCTTTGTCTTAGCATTGACATTAGCTCCTTGCTTCAGAAGAAAGTTCACCATCTTGATGTTTCCATAGTGACAAGCCACAATTAGTGGAGTGTAACCCAGCTAAATGAAAAGGACCCCCCAAAAACGTAAGTTGTGAATGTGATAAGGCATTGGAAATTTATTTTATCATCTTGGAAATTACTGTTTGTCATACCTTTGTCTGGGCATCTTTGTTTGCTCCATGCTTTATCAGCATATCTGCCACATTCACTTTATCTTCTTGAGCTGCTAAATGTAAAGATGTCAGTCCACTCTGAAAATTAACAACACAAGTACTTTTAGTGATACAGATTAAGAGAAGAAACATCTTATATACTGTAATAATTAAAGTGTTTTGACCATCATCAAGGGTAACCCTTTATAAAGCTTCTTGCAGCAAAATACCTCTCTGGCCATAACCTGAGTAATAAGGGTCAAAGCTTGAATACCACAGGCTGTAACCATGCTGCCTTGGGGAACTGAATCCTAACAAAGGCAGGTATTTAATATGATATTCCTAAACATGTCCTCTCAGAAGTAGCCCTAATGAAATTCAGTTCAATAATCATTACAGTAAGTATCTCAGCTTCAGTGTTATGGAAATCTCAACATGCTCTAACAGATTTAATTGCAATTTCCAATTAACATATAAGCAGAGATCAGAGCCACAAAGAACTTCTGCGGATATGTTATCTGCTGTTGAGGAGATTAGTAGTAGATTTAAAAAATCATATTCCACTAATGAGTGTTTTAGATAACGCTCATTAGCCAAATATATTCTTACACATCTTCCTTTTTTTATATCCAAGTAACTTCTCCCTAACAATTATCATGAACTCTCCAGACTGTCAATTTGTTCACAGCTTGTTTCCAATTCTGGTTAGATATTGGAGAACACAAAAACTGTAGATATTAACAAGATGGGGTGGTGGTGGTAAAACTGGGTATTATAAAAGAATTGAACAGCATGGCGACTGGCTTCATACGCATGCTGGAGAAGAGAGGCAGAAAAAAATGAAACATTCTGCAAACAAGGAAAAAATATTTATACAATTCTGAATATTTGGTGAAATTCTGCCAGGAACAGTAGAATCTTGTAAAGGAGACACTTACCCTCAATCCCAAAACCAACCGTATCTCATAATCATAATCATTACAGTAAGTATCTCAGCTTCAGCATTATGGAAACCTCAACATGATCTAACAGATTTAACTGCAATTTCCAATTAACATATAAGCAGAGATCAGAGCCACAAAGAACTTCTATGGATATATTATCTGCTATTGAGAAGATTAGCAGTAGATTTAAAAAAATCATATTCCACTAATGAGTGTTTTAGATAACACTCATTAGCCAAATATAGTCTTACACATCTTCCTTTTTTTCTTCTCTAACAAATTCATATTTTGTATTGCTTTGTAGAACACATATCATTTTCTAGATGATAGTTCAAGAATTCATTCTTAATAGAAAGAGAACATTACCTTTGTGGCCACATGAATATTGGCTCCCTTCTCCAGAAGTACGTTCACCATGTCAGCATGACCTTCCTGAGAGGCCAAGTGAAGTGGAGTCACACCTTGTTTGGTCAAAATATTGGTCTCTGCTCCATAATTCAGTAAGGTTGTGGCTATCTGCATCTGATTCTTCTTAGCAGCAATGTGTAGAGGAGTATACCCATTCTAAAACCAGTTGCCTTGTATTAATATACATTTGAATTTTGTTTTCTTTCATAATAAAATATCAAGAAATTGCCTCTTCAGAGAATAACCATTATTTTTCTGATACTACAACTTTCACCTAAAGAGTAATATTAGCCATAGTTTCTTGAATGAAATCACAGCTGCAATCATTTAAGACATACGTTGGCACTGATATTTCAAAGGTCCAATCTTAATTATAGAACACATCATAGCTGTTATTGAGAAGAGTTACAGGCTTTCCTTTAAAAGATTATTGCTGATTAGAATTCATGTAACTTTTATAGAACTTGACTTTTGATGACACATTGGAGACATCCGTGCATTTCCTAGCAATAATTACATAAGTGGTTTGCCACTGCCTTTTTTCCAGAAAGCTTTTTTACTTATCTAAGTGTCTGAGCTTCCATGCTCAGACAAGGTCAGCTTGGTGGAAACTATACCCAAAATGGCACCTCATCCATACTTGTCTTCCCTAAATGGATTCCTTCCAGACATATTGGATATGTGCCAGCTAGGGTGGAAGATAATTGTGATCTAACGAGTCTGGAAGGTTATAGCTTGTTTATTTTAGAACAGTGTTTTTTAAACTTCCCCAGCATGCTGACTGGGGAATTCTGGGAGTTGAAGTCCACACATCTTGTTGCCGAACTTGAAAAACACTGTTTTAGAACAACCGGAACATATTCACAGTAGAATGGTAAGTCTCACCTTGGCAGTAGCATGAGGAGAAGAACCTTTCTCCAGTAAGAGTAGTGCCACTTTCTGATTGTCGTAGTGAGCAGCAACATGGAGGGGAGTGAGACCATTCTGGAAAGGGTGGTTTATGTTAAGGCATTAAGTGCTGGTTAGCTTTGTTTAAACTAGCATTAATTACAAAACAACAGCATAGATTAAATAAGCAATTGACTAAGAAAAACACAGCAGGTTTAACTCAAAGTGAATTATTTCATATTAGACAAGTTATTTAAAAGAGAAGAGTATTAAATCAATATTAGACAAAAGATTTTTTGCTTTTTAAAAAAGAATACGCCATTTCAATTTTATTAAATTTTCTGGACTGGTATATTTGTAGTGATGTACAAAATAGTTTGGATTCAAAATGTTTCCAACTTGAAATGCCCTATCATGAGTCCATAACAGCTGTTTTGTCCTTACTGAAAGTGTTCTGACACTATTCCAAGTATCCTAAAAGTATCTTCTGCTTAAATCACTCCTGTTTTGAGCTCTGAGCACTTCTGGGGGGCAGGTTTCAGCAAAAAACACTTCCAGAATGGTCAGGATATTATCAGAAGACTTCCTTCACTATGATTGGAACAGCTGTTTCAAACTCAAAACATTTCATACATCCCTAGTATATTGCAGTCCTAACCATATATTCTTATTGCCAAGCCTGAAATCCTCAATGACTTTATAGCAGAAAGAAGAACAGAACACTTCCATTTTATCTATGGAATTTCTGGCAATCTGGAAAAATAGCCATCTAATTGAAATCCTTTATTATTATTTTTTTATAAATATACTCATGGTGGAATTACATGAAAGCATATCTGTAGAAGAGAAAGAAATAGGGGATTCCCTCCCCTAATCTCACTCACTGTACAATAAGTACAAAAGCTAGTCACTAGTCAGGGAAACGCTATATTTTCAAGCAGCTGCATTGTTGCTGAAGGGATTACCAAAAAGTTGCAGCTGAGGTGGGTGGCAGACTGAATGTGAGGAAGGAAATTGCTGCAGGGTTATTTAAGTCTTATTTAAGTTATTTAAGAGAGAGAGGGAGAGAGAAAGAAAGAAAGAGAGGGAGGGAGGGAACTAGCAAGTTGGTCAAGGCTGAATTTCTGATGCATGATAGACAACCTGATTGCCTTTCCTAGCATATCTGAGCAAGATGTTTGCCATGGAATGATTGTTTATGGGACTCTTGTTAAGCTGAAGAGAACACCTTTTTTCTTCCCTCTTTTAACTCTGTGTTAGAAAGTTAAAAGTCTATCTACTGAGGCACCTGAACAGAATACTGCCACTGAGATTGGTACTGAGCAAAGTGACACATTAGAATAGTCTGTTGCTAAATGTATCAGTTTCTTCATCCCCCTTTTATATCACCTGTTTCTGTTCAACATTTCCTGGCAACTTTTCTTGCCCCACTGCACATCATTAACTATAGTTGGCATGAACATGTGAGACAAATTGAACTAGATCTTATGAAGTACATGTAGAAACCTTGACATGGAGCTATAGCAACAATATCTTCTATCATGTGCTAACTATAATGATAAGGTACTATCCTTGTTGGCTTTTCATGACATGCAAACAATCACCTAAAAAGGAAGCCTTCATGTGATAATCCTATAAAGAGTCAGTCAGTGAAATCCATTCTAATTTGTCCGTTACAATACGATATAAGCACTACCTGTAGCAATTAATACTGGGAAAGCTTTTGTAAAAAATAGTATAAACATAGTACCTGCATACTGTTATAAATGATATTTTTATTTCAGTATCAAATTCTTCTGTAATATTGAGTGCAGCATCAAAACTAGGATATTTAACACTTAGAACAAAAGTCTCTTAGTTACTGGTAATTCAAACTGGAATACTAATTCCTACCTTCCCAGCTGAATCAGCAGATGCACGACGCTGCAATAGGAGTTTTGCCACATCTAGGCTTCCATACTTCGCTGCCACATGCAGTGGTGTGAATCCCTTCTGTAAAATATGGAAGTAGAAAATCAGAGTACTAATATACTCTGAAGGAAAACCTTGTCATGCTTCATCCAGATTGATACTGAAATTAGAAGGAATCATAGGCCGAGATTCAAGAACACAACAGCTTTATTACAGATACTAGAAAAACTGTTAGTACAAAGAAAACCAGCAACTGCAAACTGTAACACCCAACCCATATATAGAACAGCTAAATCTCACATCTTAAGTCTCTTCCTTCTGCTCATGTTTCATAAGAGGCTGAGGGCCATTCATTTTGGGGCAGAAGGAATGGATGACCCGTGTATATTGTTATTAAAATCTGGTTTCAAGGCCTTTGCTTCTATGTTAGCCCAATCTAGCCATAACAATCTATTGGTAAAATTATAATTCTGGTCTTAGTTGACTACTTGGAACATTAACACCAAAACTTTAGATTTTACCTTGGTAGCCAAGGAGTGTGCTGCACCTGCCTCCAACAGAACCGATGCTACATCAACTTGGCCTTCTCGGGCAGAGATGTGTAGTGGTGTATACCCATTAGTTGTTGCAGCATCTGGGTGTGCCATGTGTTGCAACAGTAGCTGCACAATTTCTGTTTTACCCAAGCGAGATGCAATATGCAGTGGTGTCTGTTCCTCCTACAACTCAAAAGATGACAGAAGTTAGATATTATCTATCTATCTATCTATCTATCTATCTATCTATCTATCTATCTATCTATCTATCTATCTCCCACCCACCCTTGAGTTCTTTCACTATAGAAGATTGCAAGAAAAAAAAATTCATCATAGCACACCTAGAATTCTTCTGACTTTGTTAAAAATGTTGCAGAAGCTGACATGTGAGAATACATACCCTAGCTCGTGCATCAACCAAAGCACCGTTTCTTAGGAGGCAGCGCACAACTTCCACTTGTCCTGCACGAGCTGCCATGTGTAATGCAGTCTCACCACGCTGAAGAAAGATGGATGTGTTAAATTTGCTAGCCATTTGAACAAAAACCTTCAAATTGATTTAACGTTAGTCTTGCATATGGCAAGTGCCTATTTTCCATGTAGTGTGAGTCAAAGCTATTCTGATAACAACAAATAAAAACCCAATGTCAGTTTTCTTCTGACAGAACTTTTTCCCACATCCTACTAGAGCTAATTTGGAAGGAGAATATGAGGGACTGCGGCAACCAGAATTCGCCCCTCTGCTTCTGCTGAATTATTTCTCTTTATTTACTGAACAAATTTATAACTTGCAGCTATGGTGTAAGACCTGGATTTCAGTCTACACTGAATTTCGGGAACTTGAGATACTTGTTTATCATTGGAAATTCACTAGCACAACCTTCTGGGCATGCTATACCACATATTGGCACCATTGACACAACTCTGCTATTATAGCAGTCAGAATGGAAGACACAGGAAGGTTGGGAAGAAGTGGATTTGCGACAAATTCATATATTCCCAAACTACAAATGTTTGTGATACAACTTTGCACAGAATAAAACAGAGGCAGAAACCAAGTTAATCTATTAAATTAATTAGACAAATTGGCGGGGGGGGGGGGACTCCCATCTTTCTTCTCCTACTAAACTACACTGAAATAATAGAATATAGGATTTCATATCCACTGAACCACAACCCCTATAGCTATAGTATATAATATGGATTTAATCTGCCAGCATCCATATGTAAACTCCCGAGAAAAGGATTGTATTACCTGGTCTTGAGTCAAGCATATCCTCCCGCTAACAACGTTTTTCCCAGAAAAATAAACTCTATTTTGAATGCTGTTTATAATAACTAGGTACTTATATTTTCTCAAGGACAAATTATCTATCTATCTATCTATCTATCTATCTATCTATCTATCTATCTATCTATCTATCTGCATTTAAATAGTTTTGCCTATCCTGTACACAATCTGGTATACAAACAACAGAACCTGAAACTATTTAGCAAATTGCTTAGACATTGCTTTGAGATTTCAGAAATAAAAGTGTGCTTTAAAAGTATTTACAAGACAAGCAGAAGACAGAGGAAAGCACCATGTTCCATTTTAAATGTATTCCTGTAAGACGCTTAGAAAGAAAAGGTTCACAAAATACTAATATCTAACGTAGCTTCTGGTTAAGACACCCCTAGCGAGCTTAGGATTACTCAAATCCAAGCCATACTCACAATGTTAGTGACATCTGGAGAGGCACCATTTTGCAGTAGAAGGAGAACTATGTTCAGATGCCCCATAAATGCAGCCACATGAATTGGTGTCAGGCCCGACTGTGAAATAAAGCAATAGCAATTTTACTCCTCTGCAAAATGCCTTTAAATTCTGCCTAATTTATATATATCTAAAAAGGAGAGTGTGAAGAGAAAGAAGAGATGGCCATGAGAGAGGGTTCTTTGTGAAATTTCTCTACCTCTGTTATAGCTTGGATTGAAGCCCCATATTTCACCAGCAGTTCCATTACTTTAATGCGATTTTTCTTGCAAGCAATATGCAGTGGAGTAAAACCATTCTGTGCAAAAAAACAGTCATGTTAGTTAAGCATGCACCTTCTGTTCTCATACAGATAGATTACCCTTTTTAAAAAAAGTCAGATTCTGACATACTGAGAAAACAAGAATACCAAGGCCACTGGAACAGCTGCAGCAATGAGCCCAAAAGAGAATTTGTGAAGTTAATGGATGTCTTAAGCAGACCAAAAAAAAAAAAGTCTGATTGGCAGTTTAATCTGTGTGGTGTTCTTTATTCTTTTTGCTATAGTAGTAGCTGATGAAATTGAGCTACAGAGACCACAGCAGTGTAGCATTACCCACCCTGTGTAAATAATACAGACTTCATAATCACCAACATCTGCAGTATAGGACTGCACCCCATGCAAGTAGTTTCTATGGTGCTTGGAGTATGGGGAAGGACATTAGAGTAAGAATGTTTGATTATATTGCCACCATTTTCTATGGCTTAATATAGACTTTCTCCAGTTAATACCAGAGTATGTTAACTATAACGGTTACTTCAGTACTTAATTTGACCTTATCTTATTATTAAAGTCCACTTGTAAATCTATGTATTCTGAACAATTATATGACAATGCTGAACTGTTACTTTTTTTTTTTTTTGCATAGAAATAGGACATTATAGCAAGAGACCACTGATTAATTATTGAGAGACTTGAACAATGGGATTTACAACCACCATAAGAAGTATCAATTTGAAAAATTATGGGTTTTAACAAGCAACTCAAATAAGCATGATCCTACTCTCCCTCTTAGAGCTCTCTCTGCCCCCAAGAAACTTTCCAGAGGTTCACAATTTCTCCTGAACAATGTGGGAGGGACAGGAGTGGGCTGCAAGGGAGGGGTAGTATTTGTTCCAAATTGGACAGAACTTCACCACTAGCCCACAACATCCTTTATCTGTAGAAAGCCAGGGCTGACAATATCACATTATCCAGGAAGAATCTTGGCCCACAGAGAAGCCCCTTGGAAATCAAAAGGATAAGAAGAATAGGAAAGTCAACATAGTACATGAACTTCCCTGTTTGCTTATTTAAAAAAAACCAAACCACTTTAATTATCACAATAAGAAACACAAGTTTTATAATGAGTTTCTGAATTTATTATTATTGGCTTAACAATACTTTAATGGTATTTTTGCAGAGTGTTATGTTGGGACAGGGAATCAGGTGAATTCAGCTTAATCCCTGTGATATTGGTATTATTGTGATATTCTCAGTACCAAGTGGAAAATCTTGGATTCTCTCCTAACTTGGAGGATACACATTACAGTAAAAGCAATAGATTTGTTTCCTTTTCTTCAGTTTTTAAAATGTTGTTTCATTCAGCACTGCCAACTATTTATTGTCTGAATCTTTAAAAATGCAAGTGTTTCTAATTCTATCCAGAGCAAAGCACCAATGGCCATCTTTCCCCCTCCCAGGATGCTTCTGAAATGAAACTAGTTACACTAATACTATTGACAATTGAGAGCCATTTGGGAATAAGAAAAAATAGTCACTGACAGATTTCTTTCAGCCACCAAAGTTGGCACATGGGCTGATATAAATAAGTCTTTTTTTTTTTAAAAAAAAAGAACTGTTGGAATGCATAGCAATTTCTAAACTGTTCGAATAAATGGAAAAGAAAGGAAGCTATCACTTCCTTGTCTCATTTCTGAAACAATTTATCCTCTTTCGGCTCAACCTACTCTTGGCCCCAAATTCTCTCTCCTCCATTTGCCATGTGCAAATAAAGGAAATAAACTGGGGATGCTATTTCAGGTCATTCCTAAATTGTATCCATGATACACACACGCACATTCTATAGAACACAATCACAATACATTACATTCCAGAATTGCATTGTCTAAGCTAAAAAATAGTGTGATTTGTGTCCTACAAAAATGCACTATTTCAACAACACAGGTAAGCCATGCAAAAACAAATGCATGGTAACTTAATTCATGGGGAGATCTACACAACATACAAAATAGAAACATACAGAAGTATGGGCATCCATGGGAAAGGATGAATGTGTTTTGATATCACAACACAAATTCCATTCCTTATACACTTGTGCATGACACTGTATTGATAATATGAAAGGGCAGAGCTTATGTCATGTGCATCTTACAATGCAGATTTCATTATTTGGGCATTGACATGCTTACGGAAGGACACCTATGCACAGAAACCATCTATTCAGGAATAAATTACTTATTGTATCAAGAACCAAAAACAGGCTTGGGCATCCTAAATGTTAACAAACTTACTATGCTATTAGCTTTCATAGACTGTAGTCCACTTCAGCTATTGTATTGGGATATTTTTATGTTTAATCACATAATAATAGTAAAGGCTACAATATTCCCAAACTATTCAGTGCTCCATTTACTTTATGTAAGGTACTAGCAATGCTACCATTTATTTCTCAAATCAAAACCAAGGTCCACAGATTCTGTGGGTAACTTGTCACAAAGCCAGGGGGGAAAGTGGAATTGAAATGAACTTTGAATTGTTTGAATGATCTGCTAAGTCCCTCTACTAGTTCATACGAATGCAGATTCTACCATTCTATTCTTACCTTCCTAGCCAGAATTTGAAACTTAATTGTTAATGCAAACTAGAAATAGAGCTGTTCCAAATTTGGATCAGGCATAAAGCCTTAGGGAAGAAATAGACTTTTGTTAAAAGTTGCATGAGTTATTGAATAAGATACCTATCTTGTTAAGCAGCAAGAGTGTCTTAGTGTGACATCTAAATATGATTGTCTTATCCTCTATGGATTTCTTTATGTTAGGTGTCTTCAAATATTCTTTACTGTTTTTTTTTTCTTTACTTTTAATGGAATACAGAAGAAATTCATTGAGAAGAATGAGCAAGAAACATCACCATCCATGAAACACCTGCTCAGTATTCTGCAGCATCATCTGCTATTTGTTTAGACTCCAGTCAAACATACTGGTGATCCTACATTTATTATCACCGGCATCATCATCTTTGGATCTTAAAACTAAACGATTTATATTGACATGAACTGCTATAACATTTTTGATTGTATATCTTTAAAAGGTGCTCCTCCTGTTATTCTCAAAGAAAATACTATTTAAGGCCCTTAAAAACAATAACAAACTATTTTTTTCTCAAGTTTCTATTTTCTTCTTGGTTCTGCTCTTTCCACAGTGGTTGAAAGGCAGCCCCATGCTTTGCCTTGTCTACTGACACCATGCCACTTAGGTTTGACGTTATGCTGTGCTGTAGCATCTCTTGTTTAATCCCTAATAATGTGAAATTTTAATTCTGCCCTCAGGTGTTACATAGTGTTTTTCTAGGCAACATCAAATCAAGAAGTGTTTAGGATTAAAAGAGGAATCATATATTGTGTATGAGTGAGTCCATGTGTTATAAAAAAGTAAAGTCTCCTTCAAGTGGAGTTTGACTTGGTTATTATACGGACACATGCATGTGTTTTTCTTGGCAACAGTTTGGACATGGTATTTCCTTGTTTTCCTAATCTGATCTGTAGCCCTGGAATTTCTTGGTGGTTTTCCACCAAAGTATTTAACAATGTTCAGCCTTGCTTAGTCTTTTTGAGCATCTAAAGACTCAAGGAAGACTATATTATTCATAGTAGACATATGTAACCAACTATATACAATAAGGTATATCAAGGCTATATGATCAGATGTATGCAATTGGTAAGCTACTTATATCTCCTAATTGGTGGATGTGGGCAACATTACATTGATTTGCAAGGCAGTCCCTAGATGAGAATTCTAGCTTCCATAGGATAGCATGAATATCCTTGGAGTAAAATTTGGCTTTGGTTGTCTGGTGGCATATTGGCCAAAAATTGCCTAACCAGTAGTGTCCTTATCATTAGCTAGGAATAATGCATGCAGCACTGATATGACTAAAAGTGGTGAACTAGTCAATATCTTCTTTCTTTTGCTAAAAAAGCCTTGATTGACCAAAATTGTGATGGATGGAAGAAAGTGAATATCTGTGGACCCATTTGATGATGTCCATGGCATATAGAACACTGTGACGTATGAAGTAAATGGTAAATGGTAAAGAACATAAATTACTGAATAAAATGGAATAAAAGAAAATAGGTATATTGTGTGTCTGTGAAACTAAAAGAAGGGTGTGGTGCTCCCCCTCTGGAATAGTATCCCCCCCTCCCCCCCGCCCAGACAGTAGACTTGCCTGAATCCTGCTGGCCTTTTGCAAAGCATTATAAACTTGGCTCTGTCATCTAGGCTGGGCCCTGGCAGTATGGGTGAGCCCATATCATAGTTGATTTGAATGTAGGATATTATTAATGTTCTCAAAAGCTATTTTTACACTATTGATGCTGTTTTTAAATTTTGACTGTTTTATCTTGTTTCTATTTTGTTTTAATTGTTAGCCACTCAGACTCATGTATATGAGGTGGGTGGCCTTATAAATTTGATGG